CCAGGGGGTCCTCAACCAACTAGTAAAAGTGAACTGCGTGCCCCTAATCCCGGATGGTGATGCAAAGAGACATAAGGTTTATACTGGTTCAGGCAATTGATGCCCTACGTCCAGTCTGAGAGATCGGTCTTGTATTCCTTGCACCGAAGTGCTTGTAGTAGGGGGTTACAAGCTGGGTGAGAGAGGGAGCTAGTCCTAGGTCTCAGCGTGGGACGGTGCCAGGTGCTTGAGACGCTGCTCTCAAGCAGCCCGGGAGCGTGGGTGTTACATGATGTTTCTAGGGCGAGTATGGGAGCACGGTTCTATCGTATGTTCTTCTTTTTTTCCCCATGCTATCCCTGGCCGCTTTCTTTTATAACCGCAAGGAAGGAGCCAGGAGTACATGAGTAAGCTACACGTGGGGCCTACTGCAGTTTTGTCCTGTAGCAGCATGGCGTTGGGAATGGAGATCGGTACTTGTCTGGCGCGCCGTGCTGGTCAGGTTTGAAGTGGTTGAGGTCGTGGGGGTCCTTGTCGATGTCTAGTCAGTATGACTTCCACGGCCGGAGACATGCCGTGCTTTGGTGGACTCTTGACCTGGTGGAGTGCCGAGGCCTGGCGGGTTGTAGCTAACCGCGTCGAGGCCTGATTTGCCGAGGCCCTGGTGGGTGTTTGTAGCTGACCGCGCCGAGGCCTAATTTGCCGAGGCCCTGGCAGGTGTTTGTAGCTGACCGCGCCGAGGCCTGATTTGCCGAGGCCCTGGAGGGAACAGTTGGGCCTATGCACTGATTCCTGGTTTAGGTGGAAAAGTGTAGGGCATGGTAAAAAAGGAGATTTGACCGTTGTCCCATCGCTCCTGTTGCTGTACCCTGCTGGTCGTGGCTGACGTAGCGGGTGCATTCAGGCGCATTAAATGGATGGGACAGCCTGCCAGGGGGATGGTTGAGGCGGAGGCGACGAGGATGCGGGACGAGCCCGGCCTCGGCTGAGGCGGAGAAAGAACAGTACGTCCGAGGCCCTGCCGGGGGGTCTCGAACGAGGAGGAGAACGAGCAGCTGGGCTCTCCTGCTGTTGCTGAGACTACAGGGACCTAGATTTGACCTTCCACACCGCTTCGTCCTTGGCGCAGGGGTTAGGTAGCACAAGGCAGTACGGGTGTCAGTAGAGAGCACAGTGATGAGTACAGCGGCAGGTAACCCCTGCTGCGCCCGGTCCCCTGTCCCGTCGGTCGCTCTGCCCGCACTGTACCCGCGTGCGGCTGACGTTTGCGGGAGTAGTTGGGCGCATTAATCGGGAAGTGATGTTTTGTCAGAGGAGTTCGGTCGAGACGGAGGTAACAAGGTTGTTTGTCGAGCCCGGCCTCTAGCGAATCGAAGAATTGGCATCCCGTCCGAGGCCTTTCGGGACGGGGCCTCGACGGGGCGGGGAGCTTTTGGCCTTTCGCATGAGGCTTCGGCGCAAGGCCTTGGGCGAATCGGAGAATCTGCTGAGACCTTGCGGTAGTCTTTCGGCTTTGATTTTTGCAAGGTTTAAGCAATATTTTTGGTTCTTGCTTAGGGTACCCCTTGTTGCGGTATCCGACAACTACCTATAGAGTCCAAAGAACTTAATAAATAAATTCTTCTGGAGATAATGTAAATTCTCTCAAATCTTTCAATTGGTGTAGTTAGTATTATCATAGTACCCGCATGTATTCATGGGAAATAAATCGTGGACAATACGTGGACACTTTTTGATGTGACATTCCAACATGGGTCCATCGTTCTGCCAATATCCTTGAGGCAAATCACATAAAGGATGAGAGTTCCTCTATGAGATTGCTCACAAGAGACTTAAACTTATATCTGATCATGGTAATGTTGAATTGTTTTGCATCAAAAGCATCGGCAATGATAAACGGGGACATAGGTTTTAGTATGCATAGTGGAGGTAAACTTAACCTTGGCCTTCTCAGCAACTTTTCTAAGCCTTTACAGTGCTAACTTGTCCTTACTCAGATAGTCAAGAGGTGCACCATAAAATTATGCACCACTAAAAAAAGTATCATCATTGGTTACCTTGACCTGAAAAATATGTCGAAATTAAGAATTATAACACCTAATTCAACATCTTAGAACAGACACTCAAGTGGATACCTTATTCTATAATATATGTCTGTGTGGAATAGTCCTAAAGCCACACATATTTATATGGTGAGTATAACATACTTTGTTTTAAAATTTTATGAGAGATTTTTTAAGACACGCAGTATTATCTATGTGACATGTACTAATATTTACATATATACTCGAACATGTGTGTACAGGATTATATGAAGATGCAGCGGAACTTATTCATGAATTTATTAGCGCATGAAAAAAATGGATATCGGAGAATTCTGACCATATAAAATATTATCTTAGCCATATCACGAAAAAGTCTATACAGTAGAGTTTGTGAGGCTGCGATGTCGCGCTTTTCGTGACTGTGTTAATTTCACGAACTTTGCTTTTTGAATTAAATGTCACTTTTAACGTCGGTATTTAATTTAACAGTATTGTTATCTTATCGTGTGATCCGTATGTTTTTATTAGAAAAGATTTAGTTGTTCCGGAGCAACATACGAGTACGCTGGCCAGTATAAGTTAAAAGCCGTATGTGGCAAGATGAGAAATACAACACAACGTCTGTAGCGCTACTGTAGTACTATTACAGCGCATTGAGCGTACTATTCCATCTACACCCAAACATGGGTCACAACGGCTCACATCTGGTTAAGGGAGACTCTCGTACCACCTTTTGTACAACACGGGAGAATGGTCTCCCAGAAAGGAACGCGGCACGCAGCAATAGCGCACATCACTCCCAGAGACCCACACGGCATGGAGGATTCTCTCTTCCTCTCTGTAACCGTGCTTAAGGGGATAGGACCGTGCTTAAGGGGATAGGCCGGAGACGTCGGTCTCTTAGGGCCTGTTTAGTTCCAAAAAAATTTACGCATTACCTATTACATCGAATCTTACGGCATATACATGGAGTACTAAATGTAGACGAAAAAAAAACTAATTGCACAGTTGGGTGAGAAATCGCGAGACGAAACTTTCAAACCTAATTACTCCATAATTAAACACTAATTGCCAAATATAAACGAAAGTGCTACAATAGCCAAAACCCAAAATTTTTTGCATCTAAACGCGCCCTTAGCTAAAGTCCCTCTCAATTTTTTAGACTCATTCTTCTTCTTTTTTCTCCCTCCCTCAGTTTGTAACCCTATAGCAAATATCGAGCCCTCATGCTCAAGAACATAATTGAACACCAACTGAACGGGACGTAGGGCACGTTGTTAGAACCAGTATAAATCATGAGTCTCTGAGTGCTAGACATGCGAAGCCCACGCGCATAGCTAAATTTACTAGTCGACATGCGGGTACCTCTATGACAAAACGTCAACAAGAGAGAACATGAGTTTCATCAATATAGAGAGAAATTGATGAGCGTCTACCCAAAAATTGGTGAAAGAAGAGGATTCCTTGGTATGTTCGGCAGTATTGGCAGTACGTATTGGCAATAGGAAAGATGACCAAATGTGTGGAAGGGCTAATTCACTCAAGCACGATCTTTATTTAGCGCTCGCGTGCCATTTCAAGTTCTCAATGATGGTTTCTAACTATGACTTTCCAACTGATCAGTTTCTTTGAAATAGCTGGTTGAACTTTCCTTTTCTCCTATGAATATATCTCTTTTTCTTGCATATCAGTTTTTTAACCTGTCTCTTTCGTTACATGAATATCCATAAATATCTCTAATTAGTTTATCCCTTTAGTTTTCTTGTTGCATGACTAATCTTAGCAACAAACGAGGGTGCAATAACGATCCCTGTTACTTGTTCCAACAGTGATATCAATGTTACAAACTAGTGTACTCTATTTATCAAAGAACTAAAGGGCACAATTAAGGTGTTAAGAGTCAACTACATGATCAACGGGTAACACATGTTACTCTCTTGCTCACGGAATACACCAAAAAATGGGATGTGTTTGTGAACTCAATATCTATGCCCGTCACTGACAAGTATAAGGAACAAATAAACGAAGAAAAAAAGATATTGTAATGCCCAACTCATCTATACGACCGAGGCCAACTCGAGAATATTGTGTTATCTTGTATCGTACTGTACTTCATAACATGATAGTTGAAGACGAAAAAGAAGAAGAAGAAAGCGGTCCTGAAGAGAATCTTGATATAAAAACGTCAAGTAATTATCCTTCGAAAGATACGTTTCATCATTTGAAAGAGTGCTAGAAAAGGTGGTGATATTTGAAAGAGTTACATAACACATTTGATCACGACACCACAAAAGAATTACATACTACTATGTAACTGGCCTTTTGGAACAGTGAGATAAAAATATTTATGGAGAGAGCTTGTTTCATCAATCCCTCAGTACTCCTAAAACTGAGGTAACATCCTGTGAAAGTGGGACATGAAACTCCCAGCTCCGACTGCTCAGACTAGCCTGATAAGAAGCTCTGTGTTCGTCTCCCATTGTCACGCCACTTTCAAACCTCCTCGAAACCAGCCACCGCCGGAATGAATGAATGAAGGAAGGAAGCCTCTACGGCGACAGAGCATAGAAGAGCGCAGTACATACTCGTGTGTCTTCAACTCCAGCAGCTAAAAATAGACGGGGCTAAATTACAGGGACCTCCATCAACATCGCCGAGCCCTGAAAAAACACAGCACGAAGCAAGCCAACAATGGCTATTTATAACATCTCCCCTTTCTCTCTCCTCCCCTCCTTAGTCCTCAGCGCGCGCCGGCCGCCTCCGCCCATCGTCGTGCCATGCCATTGCCGAGAAGACGATCTTGCAAGGAACGCGCGCATGCAAGAACGTCATCACATAGAGGAGCAGCAGGTGCAGGTGGAATCGAAGGCTTGATCCCTGTTTAGACGGAAGCGGTCGAGGCCTGCAAAAGCTCTTAATTTGCATTGGCCGCCGGAGTGGGCTGCAGTGCGGGTGGATCGGTCGCATGCGAGGAGGATGCGAGTGCTGGAGGAGGACCTGTACCCGTCGACGCCGGGGAAGGTGAAGGTGGAGCGGGCGGGGGCGATGAGCCGGCACCTCCACCGCTGCTTCGCGTCCACGGGGACCATGTTCCTGTGGGCGCTCTTCCTGGTGGCCATGACGGCCACGTACCTGAGCGTCCACTCCTTCGTCGACACCTCCTCCCGCTACTTCGCGGCGTCCTGGGGCGGGCTGCACTGGGAGCGCCAGATCCGGGCGTCGGCGTCGCCGCGGCGGCCCCCGGGGTCCGCGGAGGGCGCCGGGCTGTCCGTGCTCGTCACGGGCGCCGCGGGGTTCGTGGGCACGCACTGCTCGCTGGCGCTCCGCAAGCGCGGCGACGGCGTCGTGGGCATCGACAACTTCAACTCATACTACGACCCTTCCCTCAAGAAGGCCCGCCGCGCGCTGCTGGGCTCCCACGGCGTGTTCGTCGTGGAGGGCGACATCAACGACGGCCGCCTCCTGGCCAAGCTCTTCGACGTCGTGCCCTTCACCCACGTGCTCCACCTCGCGGCGCAGGCCGGCGTGCGCTACGCCATGGAGAACCCGGCGTCGTACGTGCATTCCAACATCGCCGGCCTCGTCTCCCTCCTCGAGGCCTGCAAGGACGCCGACCCGCAGCCGGCCGTCGTGTGGGCGTCCTCCTCCTCCGTCTACGGACTCAACGACCGCGTCCCCTTCTCGGAGGCGCACCGCACCGACAGGCCGGCGTCGCTGTACGCCGCCACCAAGAAGGCCGGCGAGGAGATCACCCACACCTACAACCACATCTACGGCCTCTCCGTCACCGGCCTCCGCTTCTTCACCGTGTACGGGCCGTGGGGACGCCCCGACATGGCCTACTTCTCCTTCACCCGCAACATCCTCCAAGGGAAGCCCATCACGGTGTACAGGGGCAGGGACCACGTCGACCTCGCCCGGGACTTCACCTACATCGACGACATCGTGCGCGGCTGCCTCGCGTCGCTGGACACGGCGGGCCGAAGCACCGGCACCGGCGGCAAGAAGCGCGGCCCGGCACCGTACCGGATCTTCAACCTCGGGAACACGTCGCCCGTCACGGTGCCCACGCTGGTGTCCATCCTGGAGAGGTACCTGCGGGTGAAGGCCAAGAGGAACGTGGTGGAGATGCCCGGCAATGGCGACGTGCCCTACACGCACGCCAACATCAGCTTGGCACGGGAGCAGCTCGGCTACAAGCCCACGACCAGCCTGGAGATGGGGTTGAAGAAGTTCGTCAGGTGGTACCTCTCCTACTACGGATACAACAGGGGAACGCATACCTTCAGGAATTCATGATGTGATATGTGATTAGTAAATGTCGCTTTGTCACGCCTTCCACTCTTTCTCTGATCACAGATGGGAATTTTTTTGCTTTATTAGACAAGTTGGGGACGGAAATGCGAGGAAGAACAGAATTCTGTTGTAGTTGGGTGAGGAGAGGGAACGGCGACAGAGCGATGAAATGGACGGGGTGATGTAATCCCCTTCATTCTGTATTTTCTTCTGTAAATTGTATCAATCATTATAGAGTTATCCTTTCTTTCTAAAAAATTACTCATCATCACATATAAAAATAGCAACTTTGGGGATCTTATTAGGCAAACAGACAGGCCACTTAACAGGAGCCAGAAAGAAAGATAAGGAGCTGATGTTACCTGACAGAATGGTGTGACAACATCCTTTAAGCAGGGACTGCATTTTAACTTCCTAGCTCAATTTAGATATCTAATAATGAGTATCCTCCTTCCTGACCTCTACAGATGATTTTTGCAGAGAACATGTGTCGGTTCATAAACCAGGTTCCCCGATGGGCCCGCTTCCCGGGAAAAGTTCGGGCCAGCAGACGGCATTACAACAACGCGCGACTCCTGTGCCGACCCAGATACCTAACGACAGACCAGAAGAGCGATCCAGTATCCGACTGAAAGGCCTGACCAAGGAGGGAACGACACTCACTTCCGACTCCGACCAGCTTTTCCGACCGGAAATACACCAAACCTCTGCTTACAGCTCTTCTCCGACCGGCGCAGTTGGAGCCGACTGGGAACGACCGACCGGGGACGCCAGCTCGGTGAGGACCTAAGAATCAGGCGGAGCAGATAAGGCAAGGCGCTCAAGTCAACCGTAATACCGAGGACCGTACCCTACACACTTGCAGGACAGTACCGCCAGGCCATGCCAGAAGGGTGCTTTGCAACCTTTCAGACATGTCAGAACACGAACAGTATTGTGGACGCCGCCATTTGTCCTACAGTATGTTAGGCGCCGACGTTTGCCATACCAGAAGAACACGATGGAGCCTACCACATGCATCTGGGCGTCAACAGTATTGTGGGTGCCACATACTGTCTTGTACCCGACGGTATGGGCAACAAGACAAGGAAGCACACACACACTTTCTCTCTCCTAACTTGTAAGGCCGTCCCCTTCACCTATAAAAGGGGATGCGCTCTCTCCTAAAGGACGACGGTCATTCCAACTCTCTTTCTCTACTAAGCTCTAGACATTCAGAGCACTCAAACAGCTCAACGGCTCTATAACTCTAAAGCTACACAGAGCATACGTTCCAATACTTAGCGCATGTACGAGCTCTCGTTACTCTTGGCCCTTCGGTCCAGAGCCCGACCGGACTTTTAACACCCCCCTTCTTATTCCCACTCGTTTGTAACCCCACAACAAACTTCGATCACCTAGGCTCAGGAATAAAGTCATCGACCGACTGGAACTGGACGTAGGGCATGTTGCCTGAACCAGTATAAACCCTGTGTCATTGAGTGCTGAGCCACATCCGATCACAACGTACGGCAAAACTATAAATATTTACTTGTTGGTCACTTTTCGCACCGACAGTTGGCGTCGTCCGTGGGGAGAACACCGTACGTTCACGCTTTTGGTCATCGGATGGCCCACCTTTCCGCCATCTTCGGCATGACGGGCTCAAGCGATACGATTCGCTTCGGCTCGCTGGAGTTTCCCACGCTCCCACCTGTTCGGATGTGGGTTCCTCCCGTCTTCGAGCCGTTCCAGACCTTCCTCTTCGGAAGCCTGGACTTCGTCGCCGACCAGCTCGGTGTGCTTCGCCTCCGCGAGGAGGCACTTGTCCCGGCACTCGTCGGAGGAGGAGCGCCCGACGTCGGCTCCGGGCCACCCGGCGACCTCAACGATGAGACACCTGCGCTTCGCTCCGAGCCCACGCTGGGCTCAAACCCCACTGTGAGTAACGTACATATTGTTCTTTACTCGCTATTTAATATCTTTCGCCGACTCTCCGGAGGGACCTCGTTGTCCCCACCGCAACCGCCGTGCTACCGGTTCCCCTATGGCCTCGCGTCTCCAGTGGACGCGTACGCGCGGGGGCTCCGAAAGATGCTGACGCCGCCCCCTCTCACATCCGAATTTCTGGATATGGCGGGCTATGCTCCCGCCTCTTTCCATGACCTCATGGATGACGAGGTTGAAAGCGATGGCTCTAGCACCGACGACATCGTGGCACCTAGCCACCCACTGTCCCGAGAGTGTGCTATGGTGGACGCTCCAGGACAGCCGCCGGTGGTAGTAGAGTCTCTACAGACTCACACCCCATCGGACCCTCGTGCGGAGGCCCTCGCTCGTGCGCAGGAGCACGGCGAAGAGTTGCGACAAAGGCGGCAAAGCCAACTGCTACCTGTGCTGGCACGCTCGGCGCAGCACGCTGCGCCACACCCGCGTAACCCGGTGAGCGGCACCTGGGGTCGCGCCCGTTAGGTCCAGTGCAACATCATGGACGGAGGAAACAATCCCCCACGGTTCGCTCGGGCTGGCCAAAACATCGTAGCTACGGCGATGCTCCTGCGCAGCCTTCCCAAGCATGCCGACCCCCAGGGGCAGGCAATCCACGTCGTGACACCGTCTCGCGGCCTCTTTCCCTACCGGGGGAATGGGGGCGCACCGGTCGAATCGCTCCATCCGCTCACCACTACAGTCGCCGGGCGTGGAACAGGAGGCCACAGCTGCACCACACCCTGACCCGTCACCCGCTCCACACTGACCAGCTGTGCACGAACGGCTCGGGCCGAACCATGATGCTCGCAGTGTCATCAACAATCGACGTCAAGCCCGGCGGGATGATGACGTCCATCAAGGGGCAGTGAGAGCAGGCGGCACAGGCCCCGGCCGGACCATCGAGGGGAGCGGGGAAACACACCCTAGGCATGGTCACCGACTAGATGACTAGAGTCCCAGCCCAGACGGCCTGGGACCACGGGCCTTTGGCCGTCGCATCCAAAAAGCGTCGTTCCCACAGCGCTTCCGACCACCTACCAATATCATCAAATACACCGGGGAAACGAATCCCGGTATATGGCTCAAAGACTTCCGACTCGCCTACCGAGCCAGCGGAGTGGATGATGACCACTTCATCATTCAATACCTCCCCATCTGTGTGGGAGAGCATGTTCAAGTGTGGCTCGAATTCCTCCCCCCTAACAGCATCCGTGACTGGGCAGATCTCAAAAGGATCTTCATCGGGAATATTCAGGGGACGTATGTCCGTCCTAGGAATTCCTAGGACCTCAAGAGTTGCTAGCAGGAGCCCAAGGAGTCCCTACGGGATTACATTCGTAGGTTCTCAAAATGATGCAACTCCCTTCCTGATGTGGTCGACACGGACATCATCAGCACGTTCCTCTCTAGGACAACCTATGCATCCTTGATCCACAAGCTCGACTGTCTGAAGCCTCGTACCACCCGTGACCTGCTCGACATTGCCATGAACCACGCCTCCGGGGAGGAGGCGATCGGAGCGGTCTTTAGCGAAGGCCAGGACAAGGGCAAGGCCAAGCACGAGGACCAAGACGAGGGCCCCTCCACGCGAAGGGGCAAAAAGAACAAGAAGGATCGGCGCCGACCGACCAACTCCACTTTGGTCGCCGCGGCCGATCGTGCGGGCAAGCAGCCCCAGCAGGGTCAGCTCGACCACTTCGACAAGCTCATGGAGAGCCCATGCACCAACCACGCCTACCCCGTCAAGCACCTCTGTAAGGACTACGAACTCCTTAAGCGCTTTCTGCGGTAGGCCGGTGGGCCGAAGGAAGGAAAGGGCAAGGAGGCAGCGGCCAAGAAAGGAGGCACGATAGGAAAAGATGATGACGGCTTTCTTGACCCCGAGGAATGCCTCATGATCTTTGGGGGATCTAATGCCATTTACTCCAAGTACCAGCTCAAGGTGCGCTACAGAGAGGCATGCGTCGCCGAAACAGTCGTCCCCTCTTTTCTTAGCTGGTCAGAATCTTCGATCACTTTTGATCAGAGGGACCATCCTTCCCACGTCGCCAGACCGGGTTGCTACCCGCTCGTCGTCGACCCCATTGTCCATAAAAAGTGCCTCACCAAGGTGCTGATGGACGGAGGCAGCGGCCTCAACATTCTCTACGTCACCACCCTTGACACCATGCGCATCACCAGGTCAGAGCTCCGCCCAGTGAGCTCTCTCTTCCACGGCGTGATCCCAGGGACGCAGGCATACCCGCTCGGGCAGATCGACCTGCCGTCACGTTTGGCGACCGAGCCAACTTTCGCTCGGAGGTCCTCACCTTCGAGGTGGTGGATTTCCTAGGGTCCTACCACGCCATCTTAGGGCGGCCTTGCTACGCCAAGTTCATGGCGATCCCCAACTACACCTACCTCAAGTTGAAGATGCCGGGACCGAATGGCATCATTAGTGTGGGTAGCACCTTTTCGCACACCTACACATGCGACCACGAGCATTACGAGCTCGCCACTGCCGTCATCAACTCAACAGAGCTCCCTTAGCTTGAAAATTCGTCGACTCTGGCAGTCCCAGACTGCAACAAGCCAACCTCCTCGTCTGCCTTCCACCCAATCGAGAAAACTAAGGTGGTGGAAATCGACCCCACCGACCCAACCAAGATGGTGCGAATCGGGGCCAAGCTCCCGGCCAAATAGGAATGCAAGCTCACCGACTTTCTATGCGCCAATCGCGATGTCTTCACATGAAAACCTTCTAACATGTCTGGCATACCGTGGGAGGTCACCGAGCATGCATTACGCCTCGTCCCGGGCTCAAAGCCCGCCAAGCAACGCCTGTGTCGCTTTGATGAGGAGAGGCATAGGGCCATAGGCGAGGAGGTCGCCAAACTCATGGCAGCCAGATTCATCAAGGAGGTATACCACTCCGACTGGCTAGCCAATCATGTTCTTGTGAAAAAGAAGATCGGAAAATGGAGAATGTGTGTTGATTATACTAGCCTCAACAAAGCGTGTCCAAAGGACCATTTTCCTTTGCCACGAATAGACCA